TTCCTGCCATAGTTAGGGGGCTAAGGATCTCCAATGCTTCTGAGTAAAGATGAGGAGGTATGAAACCATCCTGCACCATTCCTAAAGGCAGCTCCTTAGTCTTCCTACCACCACAAATGTTCTTTTTCCTCTTACTTCTGCCACAGCCCTCCCAGGTCATGCTAACCAGGTCACAGAACTGATTGCCAGCTCCCCAGGCACATAATGCTCCTGCACCAGCCAGGCTCTTCCACAAGTTTTTGGGGAGCAGGAGGGAAGGACCAGCCTTCTGATCTGCTCATACCTCACGTACTGTAAAAGGAAGCCAGTTTGAATGAGGTTGCTGGACACTGTGATAACAGTTAACACACAGCCATCGGCTCCCACCTTTGCACTTCATCCTTGGGTGTTAAATGAAAGAGGCGAGCAACTTCACAGAATGCAGGCAGACTTTCTACGCTGCTAAGACATTGCAGCCCGCAACGGCCATAGCTTGGAGACAACACAGACAACACCCACCATTTTTTTAAACTTAAATGAGCTCAGCTGTTCCACACCTGGTAGGATCTGCAGGAAAGGTAATGCTCCTTTTGATCAGAGGAGTTGGAACAGTCCTTCTGTGTAGCAAGAGGATGCACAGCAATACAGCAGGTTGCAAAAACCCGGTCAGCAATGAGGCAATTTCTGCAGGGACTGGTATACAACGGGAAGATGTCCATTACTATAACCAGACACTGCCAAAATCCTAAGGCCCTGATCCAGCAGAAATCCCTGCAGAAAGGCCCCTGCGATCTCTATGGCCAGGTTGGAGGGGAAGAAGAAATTGCTCTAAGAGAAAGCAGGGTGAGTCAGGTCTGCTTTACTCCAGGAATGAAGCAGATTCTTCTCCACAGATAAGAAAATAAGAGTCACCAACCATCTACCCCACACAGCTTGACTCTGGGCTCTCATTTCAGGAGACACATAAGGGTTCAGAGCAAGAGACCTGGACCTGGGGTTCTCTCTCCAAGACAATCTTTTGGGGAGCAATTTTGCTGCCATTCAAGCACAGGTACTAAACATGCCCTGTAAAAAGGCACAGTGCGCTGCCTGTGTAATACATTCCAGATTAGTATGTAAAAAGCCTCATTTTTCCAAAGACAACTGTTTTATTTACAAGACCTCAGTTGTTACCCTGACTTTTCCACAGAGTAGCAGAAGCTGGAAGGGACTTGCCTGGATTAACGCAGCAAAAGCCTGCTTCCCGCAGACTCAAAATTGTGCTCTTCCCTCGCATATATATATAACAGCAGTCATCCCACTCCTTATGGTGACTCCCAGCTGGTACCAGCAGCCAAATGGGGCCATTTTAATAGCTGTTGTGTTGCAACCACCCTCACCCCAATCCCAGCTCGGGGCCTCAGAGGACACTAGGTTCCATTAACCATACCGTTTGCCACCTGAAGTTGCAACCAAACTCTCCCGTACCGGCAGCATCCAAAGTGTCCCCATGAGTCCCTTCTCTGCTAATGCTCACGCTGCTGAGCAAGAGCCTGCTTTAGAAAATGCCAAGCCAGTCTCACGCTGCTGTGCCAGGAGCCTGCAAGTTCAAAGTCCTGAGCAGCACCTCAGAGCAGAGTTCACAAACACTTTATTATCGCTCCATCACGGAGCTCCCCGCACTGCCCGGCAGCTCCAAATGAGCCCTCCGCGGCCGTGACAGTTAGCGCCACAGGACCACCGAGGTTTCATTAATATTCATGTTCCATTGACACTCGAGCAAGCAATGAAAGCTTGCTTTCTACAGCAGATCATTAAGCGGAGGGAAATGAGTGACCTGTTAAGACCAGCTGTGTCACAGATGTCACCAGGAGCTGAAGGGACAGAGACAGGGTCATCACCCAGCACTTCTTCTAATAAATAACAGTTCTAAATGAGCGTGGCCTTGCCGCACCCGGCAGGACCCACATGAGACTGAAAGCATCTGGGAAGCAGATGCCCGAACTGCAAGCTGAGCAAGGCAGTGCCTCCTCTCGGCCACCCTGCCCAGGAGAGGCTGGGCAGCGGGATGCTGCTGTGTGGCGGGGAAGCGAGGAAGCAACGTCTCACCAGCAGATCAGGTGTGTAACTCTGAAATAAATCACGGTGTTTTGGGCACAGTTAGCCCAGCTCAGTGGGAACACTCACCTCCCTCTACAAGCTGGTAGCATTTAGGAGCATCCCAGGGCTTCCTCAAAGCATCCCAGCTCAGGGTATTTAGCAGAGAGGTCCCCCAGGCAGCCGTTACAATGCTCAAGGTAGCAGAGACTTGATCTCAGATTACAGACCCTAATTGCTGCTATCACTCAGAGTAACAATTAGCATCAGGTTAATGCATTCCCAGTGCTCTCAGGAGAGCATGGGGAAGGAAAAGGGAGTCTTAGTCCCAGTTTACCTCAAGTTCACCGGGAGGCCACAAGAAAGCAACTCACGGGCAAACTTCCCAGGCACCCAGTTTCCCCAGGATATTCACCTCCTCTGAAACACCCAAAGCTGCACAGAAAAAACAAGTTCCTCCAGCCCTCCTAGTCCAAGCAGACAGCTGCCCTACCTCTACATTTCCACGGAAAGAAGCTAACGGAAGATCACATCTCACCCAGACCAAGCCACCCTCCCTGCTGTGAGAAGCCACCAACATCGCCCACAGCCTCTCCTTTTTTTAGCTCCTTTATCGAAGCCTGACACCCAACTCGTGCATCAAGTGCGCACCGGACACGGCAGATTCAGTCTCTTAACTCTTTCATGGCTCTTGATCTCTATATCCCCATGGTACTGAGACTATAAACAGTGCAACAGGCCACATACAAGCATGGAAACCCCTGTACCCCCAACATGCATGGCTGTGCACTGAGCTGCCTCTCCTAAGGGGATTTGCAGCACGCTCTACTTCAGAAAAACTTTGCTACCTGACTCCTTACAACTTCAGGGGGATCAAGAGTGGAGTCAGAAACTAAAATTCTGAAGTCACCCTAAAACCACAAGGTTTATTTCTGAAAGTATTTGCCAGACCTGCAAGCTTATACAAGAATTTGCCTGTGTTTACCATTTTCCTCCAAAAAAGAGATTGCCCAATAACCAGGACAGACCGTGTTCGATCTCAGAAAAGCAGGGCATTTAAGGCCCAAGGTGAGAGCTTTGCGTGCTGCTCATGCCATTTAAATCAACTCAAAAGACTAGAGAACAGCAAATAGCCCTTACAAGACCAGGGTAGCAACATATCGACCCCACAAAGAGCTGCCGCACAAGCACTGCTGCCCAAAGCATCCTGCAGCTGGGACAGAGGGACAGAACGGTGCACGGACACAGGGCCTACAGCACACAGAGCTGTGAGGACACCTAGGAGGGCTGCAGCCCCAGTGCAGCCTGGGGGTCCCCCTCCCCACACTGAGAGAGACAGAAGTATGCCAAGATTAGGAGCTCCAGCCCCAGGATATCTGCTAGAATTGCGTGCTGCAATCAGCCAGACTCACCCCAGCACAGCATCTCGGGCTCAGCCAGTTGCTTCCACCTGCAAAGCTCTGCAAGCCAAACCCGGAGGCATCCAGCCCTGGAAGGAGGGAGAGGCCGGTGAGCAGCGCTCAGGGCGATTCTGCCCAGCCAGTAAAGCAAAACAACCCGAACGCTAAGGAGGCTCGCATTTCTGGGCGTGTTTTAAAATAAGCCACCTGCATTCCCCTGCACAGCCAACCCCACACTGACTATAAGTCCCCCCCGCCACTACTCTCACCCATCACCTTGTGCTTATGGGACAGCGGTGGTGAGGGATAAGGGCTCCCCAGGTGCTCCTCTGCAGGGCTGCATGGCCCCAGGCTCCCCTGGCAGCCCTGAGCTCAGCCCAGGCTGCCCTCGCCAAGGGCTGCAGGCTCACCCACCGCCTCCGCCCTCGCTGCACCTCCCCAGGCCTGCTCAGAGCACATGGGGCGGAGCGTCACGTCACGAGTGGACCCCAGCCACACAGCCTGCAGGTCTTGGCTCCACAGCCCATCATGAGTGGGCCCCAGCCCCACAGCCTGTCACGAGTCAGCCCCAACCCCACAGCCTGTACATTTTGGCCCCACAGCCCATCATGAGTGAGTCCCAGCCCCACAAGCGGGCCTTGGCCCCACAGCCCATCACGAGTGGGCCCCAGCCCCACAGCCTGCAACAGGCAGGTTTCGGCCCAACGGCCTGTCACGAGTGGGCCCCAGCCCCACAGCCTGCAGGTCTCGGCTCCACAGCCCATCACGAGTGGGCTCCAGCCCCACAGCCTGTCACAGGCAGGTTTTGGCCCCACAGTGTGTCACAAACAGGTCTTGACCCCACAGCCCGTGACGAGTGGGCCCGGGTCCCGCAGCCCAGTCGGTGCGGGGCGGCAGGCGGCCCTCAGGCGCCGAGCCGCGCTTTCCCTTCCACAGCGGGCGGGCACCACCCCGACGGGGCGGTTCCAAATTAGCATGCAGCGCAGTGCACCCTGGGTAGCGCCGGCCGCTCGCCCTGACCTAGAAGTCGAGAGAGAAGCGAGTATTTATATAGAGGCGGGGGCCGTTGGGGGTGCGTCCGGGGGAAGCTCACCGCCCAGGCCCCGCCCCGGGGGCGCGTCACCCAGGCCCCGCCC